GAGGTGCGGGGTCAGACATGGCAGTCTTCCGGATGTGCACTGTCACTTTATGGTTTCTGGGCTTCACAAACTTCTCTGCAGGCACCCTCTTTGTGGCCTTCCTGGAAAGTTCCAGCAAAAGCACCCACACTTCAGTGCTCAGTGTGACATCTTCATGGTCAACCTCTTGACCTTCCATAGCATCTTTCCTGATGACTGCTCTCCCAGCAGACATGTGATCCCCTAACTTTATATAAAATCCATGTGTCTAATATTCAAAATGCATAGAGTGGCTTCTGGTTCCTGACCAAACCCTGACTGATAGACCACCCCTAACTCATTAGAACTGAAATAATCAATGACCATGGATGTCTGTCTCTCCAACTGAACATAGGTGCTTTAAAGCCCAGATAACCCTTCAATACCAAATATCTAGCATGGTATATAGTAGACCCAAAGTAAATGTCTGATTGTTGAAGATACTTAGATTATAACAACTCCATTACTTCAGGGACGACAGGTTCCATATTTGGGGGTCACCTGTGGGGTAAGTCTTGCCGATGGCCTCCACTTGCAGGCATAAGGAACAAAAGAAGGGAGAGAAAATTAAAAAAGGGAAAAAATGGCACAGGTGAGCAAAGTCTGAGAGGAAGAAAATTAGAGAGGTGAAGTGATAGGGAACAGAATAGGAAGCAGAGAGCTGGCGTGGCCAAGTGCCCCCTTTATTGGCTCTCAGCTCAGCAGTTGCTCATCCTAAAGCTGGAGTATCTCACCTTGAGTGGCGCTGCTGTCTTCTCCACAATCCTCTTTTGGGAGAACTTCACTTTCCACCTTCCAGATTTCTGCCTATGCCATTAGCTAGGCCATATGGCAGCATTCAAACATCAAGGCTTACCAAACCACAGGGTCCCATGCTGCATCTCGTATTCTGGGGGAGCAGACAGAGGCAGAGCCTTGCAGGTTGGAGGACACCCATTACATGGCCCCAAAGGCCAAACTAAGACTAATTTCTAAATTTTCTTTCATCTTAGGCTAATAAATTTAAGTAGGCTTATTTTTTCTCTTCATCTGTTTGATAATAAGGAACATTTTTAATTTTAGGAGCTAGAAAGGTTAGAATGTTTTCAAAACTATTGTTAATGATAATAGGGTTTTTCAGGATGCATTTTGTTAACTGTTACTTATCAGATTTAACACTTTTGTGACCATTTTTCCACTAAAAAGATGGCTTTAGTTGAACTGTATTCTTTTTAAATTTTAATTGTATGTTCTTGATACTTAACATGTTCACTCATAATGAAAGAGGGCAAGACATTTTTTTTTGTTTTGCACAATAAATACACACAGCTTCTATGTTCCTTCAAAGTAAAAAGCTGCTTTCCCATCTTTTGTTCCCTTTTTCATGGGGAATAAAAAAAATCAATTACCAAACTGTGAGCAATTTGAAATACTTGAAAAGGTCAGCATACATTTTAATTCCATGTAGGAAAAAGAAACAGTTTGCAGCAATATGGATTTACTTAATTTTCCTTAAATTTAAGGATTGTGTGTGGCCTCCACTGATCCATTCAGAATAGATTATCTTTAGTAAAGATTTTTCACTAAAGTTGCTTTCATGTGAAAGACAATTACTTTAAAATAATAAATTTGTTACAATTTGTATGGCATGCTCTGGAGAGTTTAAGAAATTGCTGTAAAAAGTTTATATGTGTGTGTGTGTGTGTGTGTGTGTGTGTATATATATATATATCTCATGTTTTTATTTTATTATTTTTTCATTTATTTCTTTGAGACAAGATCTCACTCTGTCACCCAGGTCAGAGTGCAGTGGTACTATCTCTGCTCACTGCAGCCTCAATCTCCAGGGCTCAGGTGATTCTCCCACTTTAGTCTCCCAAGTGTCTTGGACTACAGGTGCCACACCAACACATCTAGATAATTAAAATTTTTTTTTCCAGAGACAGGGTTTCGCCATGTTACCCAGGCTGTTCTTGAACTCATGGGCTCAAGTGATCCGCTCACCTTGGCCTCCCAAAGTGTTGAAATTATAGGCATGAGCCACTGCATCCAGGGTACTCTCATATTTTTTAAAAAGAAATTGTGGAGTTAATTCTTTAAAATGATTCTCAGATAGCAAACATCAGGAAAAGTAAAGGCATTAGAGAGGTGAATCAGGAGCAAAGGCAATTTGTATGTTGGTGGTGGGGGTAGGGGGTGGATTGAATAAATGGAATACTTAACAGTTTTTATTTTGTTTAAAATGTGCGCTCTGCCCTGGTATTTCTAACACGTTCACAAATACAAATTCAGCATTAAAAGAAAAGCAAACAGTTGAAAAGGGCTGTCCCTTCAAGGAGGCTGGAAGAAGATACTGAGATCTGTGTTTCAGGGCCTGGGAGTGCTGCTTGTTGGGCTGGCAGGCACACTTGGGCTGGCAGGCATCATTGTCTAATGCTACACAGAAAGTGGGATGTGGCTGCAGGAACCACTTTAAAGAAACCAGAGCTCTCTAGTGATGAGTGATGAGCTCTGAGGAATAAAGGGTCTTGAAGGAGGTGGGTGGGGGCAGGGGGCAGTTGTGGTGGGGTAAGAAGAGGAGGGGCACGGTGGACTTTACAATACTCAGCGTGAGCCATCAGTCCCTTCCACAACAGCCATCTGTGTTCTTAGGCTTCCCTTCTCTCCCTGCTATTCCAGAAGTGCTAGGCAACAGCTTCCCTCCTCCTGGCGAGGACCCTCCCTAGCACACTCATCAGAAAAACACAGCCATGGTGCATTACATCATCACAGGGTGGGGCCTGAAGAACACAGCATCCCCTCACTGCTTGGAGTGGGAATGATTCAACTCCATTCAGGAGTGGGTCAAGGAGAAAATCCAGAGCTCAGACCTAATGATTTTTGCTTCTTGTTTACAAGTTTGAAATGTGAGTGAGGTAGAGTGTCAGAGCCCTTTGGATCTTGTGCTTTAAAGGTGTCCCTTGTGAGGATGTCTTTGATACTCCTTTGGATTACTTTTTTCTTTTCTACACTCATCTTTTAAAAACACACACACACATACTGCTTTAGTTTTTAATAGTTCTTGTCATGATGCAAAGGGCCTGACTCCAGCTGTTCTTCCCAAACCTCTGGGAGAGGCCTGGTTACATCTCGTTCTCGTAAATCTTGAATCCAGTTCTAGCAAGTCTTTAAGTCTGACCCTGACGTGCCCAGGCAATGCATGATTAGAAACAGGAGACGTGGAAAAGTCCTGTGCCAAGTCGTGTCCACTGAAAAAATACATCATCTGGCAATGGCTGTTTCGACATGTGGAGCAAAGTGGCACATGTCTGGCTGTATGAAGCAGGGAAGGGCCAGAGGCAGACAGGCTTACTTTTATATTTTTATGACTTTACCAAGAAGACCAAAGTCCATGCAAGGCTACAGATTTGCTGACAATATCTGGGTCTATGGAGAGAAGCCTCTGTTATCCACAAAAGTATATATTTTTAAACCTATTATGTTTGACGGAGATATAATTTAATAAATATGAAATTATTTATCAAAATAGTTATCACCATATTATATCTATATAGTACATGTCTTGTGCGTCTGTATGGCAGTATATGTCTTACATGTCCATATAATACATGTCTATATCATTTCCATTAAAATGTATTCTTAAATTTTAATGGCACTATTCAATATTTAGTAAAGTTAAAATGCAATTCGAAGTGGAATGTTCGCCAAATTCCCTGGGTGGGGCTTCATGACTAGTTCTGGTCAATGCATTTTGAGTGAAATGATGTATGTCGCTTCCTGGCTGAGATAGTTAAAAGCTGTTACCTAATCCTCAGCTCCCCCTCCCATACTCCAACTAAAGAGACCACATGTCGACATGGTGGAACCACCAGATAGAAGCTCCTGAAACACCGCTGGAAGAAGAGCTGTTCTGGAGAGCCCTTCAAAACCCAACTGGGACTCTGCATAAGCCAGAAATAAATTTTGATATGTAAGTCTGAGATTTCTGGCTTTGTTACTGCAGCATTGGCTAGTCTGTCCTCCCTAATACTTTCTGCACCAGCATCTCTCAGATGAGGAAGATGAATAGATGTGGAAAAGTAACAGAACGCTTTTGACATGTCATCCGTCTTCATGAAAAGATGGCTTCTGTCTTGCTTGTCCTCTATTGCTTTCTCATTGGCTTGCTCTCAGGAAAGTCAGCTGTCCATTGTGAGCTAGCCTGTGGAGAAGTCTACATGTCTATCACCATCCCTAGCCCATAATAGACCTTCAAAAGATATTTTTTGAATGTTTTAATTTGTGTATTCAGCAGATAGTGTGGAATACCTACCTATATGTCCAGGCATGGTGCAAGCTCTTCTATAGAGTGTTGAGTTAGTAGGTACAGTTCTTCCCCTCATAAAGGGTAGAGTCTAGGGAAGGAAGTAAATATGAAGAGGGCAAAGACAGCAGCTTGTGAGGGGGTTCAGAGGCGGCAACCACAGTGAAGTGTTTGGGGAATGAGTGATGGTGGCTGACGTACAGTGAGGTGGAGGTTGTTGACGAGAGGTGGGGCCGGACATGTGGTCAGAGGCTGTAGGAAAATTCTCGATTTTATCCTTAGTGCCATGTGAAGCCACAGCAAAGGCTCTGTGAAGGCAAGAGATCGTTTTATTTTGAAAAGTTTATTCTGACTTCTTTGCGGAGAACAGATTGGCCACAGGCAAGAATGAAACTTGGAAGGCTGATGATGAGGCAATGACATTGGTTCAGATGAGAGAGGTGGCCGTGGGAACGGAGGCAAGTGGCCGTTTTGGTATACATTGTAGGGATTGTATTGACAGAGTTATGATTGGACATAAGAATTGAGGAAAGGGAAGGGTCAAGAATGACATTTATATCCCTGTCATTACAGTGCATTTATTGAGCCAGGAAACGTTGGAGGAAAGGCTGCTCAGGGAGGAAAGATGAAGAGTTCACTTTGAGATGCCTCAAAAATATTCAAAAAGAGTTTCCAACTAAGAAATTAGACAGGGCCGGGCGCGGTGGCTCAAGCCTGTAATCCCAGCACTGTGGGAGGCCGAGGCGGGTGGATCACGAGGTCAAGAGATCGAGACCATCCTGGTCAACATGGTGAAACCCCGTCTCTACTAAAAATACAAAAAATTAGCTGGGCATGGTGGCGTGTGCCTATAATCCCAGCGACTCAGGAGGCTGAGGCAGGAGAATTGCCTGAACCCGGGAGGCGGAGGTTGCGGTGAGCCGAGATCGCGCCATTGCACTCCAGCCTGGGTAAAAAGAGCAAAACTCCGTCTCAAAAAAAAAAAAAAAAAAAAAGAAATTAGACAGTAGGTCTGGAATGCTGGAATGCAAAAAGGAAGTCTAGGCTGGAGACAGCAATTTGGGAATAATTAGTCTTTATAGATGGCCTCTAAATCCATGGGAGAGATTGAGGAGGGAAGATAAAGTGAGAGGTCAGGGCTTAGGGCTGGAATAATACATGGAATATACTTAGTATTATGTCTGATACAGGGGAAGCACTCAATACATGTAAGAACTCATTACCATTGTTGTTAACAGACACAGAGGGTAAACTAGGAGAGCTTGGTGACCCAGAAACCAAGATAACAGGATGTGTGTTGTGGAGGAGGTGGCCAAAGGAATGCCACCGAAAGCTAAGACATGTTGCATTAGAAATATTCAACTGTTCATAGAGTGACATACCATGGGGCTCTGACTTTCCCTGGGTTCTGAGAGTCAGGCATTATTCCTGATTCACTTGCTGCCATGAAACCCCCAATAGACCTGTGCTGTTTAAAGCAGATTTAGGAGACCACCAGGGTCCTTTCAGCCATCCGGGTGTATTCTTAGGTATAACTGAACCAACAGAGTGAGGAGTCTCTATAGCTTTGCTGCAATGAGTTTGTTCCCATTTTGTTCATACAGAGCAGAGTCTAGGCATAGATAGGCTAGGGCTACTGACATGGTGTGATTTCAGGGCCTCAGAGAGACATCTGTATCTTGCTTCTGAGTCTTCTCTGACTGGGAGAGATAAGCAGGAAGAATGAAGTCATTGAGGGCCTGGAGAATAGGCTGGTGATGTTTAACTCATTCTAATAAGATCTCACTGTGGAAGCGATGAGATAACCAAGAAGAATAGCCCCAGACCCCAGAAACTGTGAATGTGTGTGTGTGTTAGTGTGTATGTTTCCAGATGTCTGTGTACGTGTGGTGTGTGAACTAGGGCAGTATGGCATGAGAAGGCAATGGAAGGAGGAGGAGAGGCTGCTCAACTTGCCTTGGAGGTTGCTGGATCTTACACAACCACCTTTGCAGGTTGGATGGCCCCAGATATCTAAGAAGTTCCAGACTATCTCGGCTATGAGGAAGTGGCATTATCTGACCACAGGGCCTTGTCACAGGCTGCTTCCCTGATACAAGGTGAAATTCAAACTTCTTGGATGCTGTATAGGTGGCCTCATTTGAAGAAAATTCAATACATGGCAATCTAAATTTTTGAAATAATTCACTCAACTGAAATCTGATTGAGGGTAAAGATCGCCTTTTATTTCTTTCATATCCTTTGCCCATTAAGCCCTCCATAAATACACATTGTTTCTCTACTAAATAATTCACCCCGGGGTTCTTGGAAAAATGAGCTCCCTTAGTGCTCTAAAGATACATTTCTATTTTCAAAGATTTTCGGGCAACTCTTTAGGGATGTATCTATTCTGTAGTCAGAAATACATCTATAGACACTTTTAGCTCAATTCCACATATAACCAAACAGAATCAAATTTGTGGATTCATAATGGCTTATCATGATGTTGCTTAGTTCGGCAGTTTTATTTTAATAGACAAATGTGTACTTTTTAATTAAGAATAATTCTATTTCTAGATGCATAGGAGGGAAAAAAAGGAGCAGAGGAGGCTGGGTGCTTCCAATTTCAATGTCCAGGAAAATAGTTGTAATTGTTTTAAGAGATCTCTTGGCTTTTAGAAGAACAAGTTTCTGGGGACTTGGGGCCACTCAGAAAAGAAAATTGATCTCCTGAATATAAAGAACTTGCATTTATTCCAGATAACCAAATTCCCCTCTGTTCTTCTCCCCTATTCCAGTAAAACAGAGGTGACACATTTGATGACAAAGATCCTCAGTCTCTGGGGGTGGCCTGGGGCTTGCTAGGGGCTGTGCCAGATCACTGTCTACCGGGTTCAGGTCCTGATGCATACACACCACTCAAGTAACCCTGCATAGCCAACCAGAGCCTGCGTTCTCCAATTCCAAAAAGGATGACACGTTTCCCTTCTAAAGAAGTCTCTTATTTTGTGCAGTTAATAAAAAATTGGGAGGCCTTTTCTCAAAATAATCCTGTATATATATATATATATTTTTTTATTCCTTTCGAAAGTGTAGTTTTTATTAGTAACTTCTCCTACTGTTGGGCTTAACCATTGGATTCATGAACACAACCACCCTTGGGCATTGCTGTTGAATTCCAAGGAACTAAGATGTTTTGGTAGAGAGTAGAGAGGAAAGGGAGCTAAAGGATCCTTTCCTATGAGAAGCTGGACTTGCTTTTCTCTTTGGTGTTCTAATTTCTCTTAGTGTGTGTCTCGTTGTACCGTTGCTGTAGTACAGCATGACCACAAATATGCCTCTCTCTGGTGGAGTGCTCTTAGTGCGTTCCCAGAGAGACAAGCTGTTTGAAGTGAATACGTTCACTCCTTGAGCCATGCTAAGAACAGACTTTTATACACTTATTCCTGTGTGGCCACCCAGACTGTAAGTGTCTTGGAACTTTGGGGCTCATAATTCAAGGAAACCACTTTTATGCACAAATGAGAAATACATCCCCAGTTCGTGCATCACTGAGGGCTGGGTCGTGAGGAAATGGCAGCCACAGCCTACAGAAGAAACAAGAAAACCACAGCTTTGCTTACAAAATTGGCTGCTTGAGGCAAGTGTGCTAGCGCTTTGGACGGATTATATTTGCTCAGATTTGCTAAATCATTTATAGGAATCTCTTTTAAAAACAGATCTTTCCTTAAGCTGCTGTGTTCTAAGTTAGACACATCTCTATTTAAACTCCATTAATCTATACTGTTATGGCGATGTGCAGGTGCAAGTGTGGAAAAGCAAACATTTGAGAAAGCCCATGGCCTGCCTTTCCAGAGCAGCAGGCTCACTTTGCAATAATCTGATACTTTCCAATGGGTGAGGAAAGAGCTTAAGAATTGCATTCTCTTCAGGACAATGAGACTGTACAATAGTCCGCTATTTTGCTTTGTTAAAACGAGTAATGGAAAATGATTTCACCAATTCTTTTTAGGCATAAGGGTGTCACAGAAGGTTTTTTCTAATAGACTCTTGCTTACCTGGCCCTAAGTGGCCAGGAAGAAGGTCCTAAAATTCAGCTACATGTGAAGAATGGGTGGATTCCCCAGGTCTGGGCGAGTGAGGAGTTAAGGCTACAGGAGGGTACTTAGGCAAAAAGGAGCACGTAGGTAATAATAAATAAGAGTTCACGTGTTAGAAAGTCAAATAATCATCCTTGGATGGAGATCAATCTTTCCTTGCTTGCTTTTCTACTTCCTGCTGGGTGTGGATGGACCAAAGTTTATAGGAGCCAATTCCTGGCCTAAAGAAGATGAGAGATCTGTGGATAATGGCAACAATCATGATAGTAAGTGCTTAGCTGATGACTGCTATGCTTACTATTCAAAGCATTTAACATATTTTAGCTCACTCGTTCTCACAGTGACTCTATGACATAGATGCTAGTATTATTTCCATTTTACAGATGTAGAAAATGAAAGAGAGGAAATAAGAGTTTATATAACACCTAAGCACAATAAATGGGGGTGCCAGGATTTGAACACAGGCAGTCTGTCCCCAGAGTCCATGCTCATAACTCTGTTGCTTGGCATATATTGTCCAACATAATTTGGCTTGCCTATTAAAATGTTTTTCGGATGAACCCACCGTGTGAGTCAACTTGGAAGTATAAGCCTTGAAAATACCAATGCTCTTTCAGCAAGTATCTCTGGCAGCTGGGAAAATATGGAAATAGCCTCTATGATTTGATAGATGAATTGGTTCCATTCTTATTTCCTGAAGAATGGTCTTCAAGCCCTTCTGCACTCATCTTAAGCATACACTTAAGGCCAAGTAGGAAAAAAAGAACTCTGGGCATCTCTTCAGACCCTTGACTCTAATATGGTTCGTTCTTAAGAGTTGATGGCAGATGACCATTATGATAAATCACTTACTGAGCACTGACGACGTAACAGGCACTTTACGAGCATTTTACTTGCATCCTCTCCCTGATTTTTGATCTTGTCGATAAAACAAGTATTATAATCCCAGTTTTAGAGATGAAGAAACAGAGGTTACAGAGAGTTACATAGTTTGCCTACTTGATGTTCCAAACAAAAAAGTGGTAAACCTTGGATTCAAATGTGGGTCAGGGAGACTCCAAAGCTCTTGCACTTAACCACTGCCGTAGACGTATACCAGTACTTTCGCACTTAGTGATGTTTGTACTTTAGCACTGAGTGACACGTTATTTAGCAATGCAAAAATTGCTATGTCAGTTTCTCAATCCTAATCAAGGGTTTTGTGATGGTTTTGTAGTGTATTAACTTGGCTAGGCCGAACTGCATTTCCCAGAATTCACTTTTTTTGGTATGTTTCTGGTCATAGAGGAACCACAAAGAAAATTCTTGGGAGATTTAGGGGACAGAAGGGAAGCAGGCGCCATCTTGTAGCTCCTATGTTGTTGCTGGTCTGCTGAGTCAACTTGTGGTTGGTGTGAAGCAGCGTTTCCAAATCCTGCTCTGTTTCCCCAACTCCTGGGCAAGGTGTGTGTTTAGTTCTGTGACAAAGGGCCTTGACTCCTGTGTATCACCAAGATCAGTCCCCCTGTGCCTGTGGCTTCTGGCCCACCCAGGATATTTTTTGCATCCATCTTCTCTTCCTGATTGCTTGTCCTATGGACATCCAGCTCCAGACATGGAGACAACAGCCTCACGGAGACTGCTTATTCAGCTCCCATCAGGCCAATTCC